CTCCTTGGATTGTTGAAGGCGTCTTTTCACCTCTGCTCGATTCTCATTGTCCCTGGACTCCTGTGCTGGTGCAGCTGATGGTACTGGCACTGCGTTTGTCTGCGCTTGTTGCACGACTGTGTTTTCTTGTCCCACAGATTCGAGTGATCTTCGTTCAGCTTTTGATGTTTCACTCGTTGATGGACGACCGGCTTCGTATTCGTCACCGTGCAATGAGGATGTGGATTGTGTCTTTGAAGACAGTGCACGTGAATAATAAAAGAAGATTGAAAACAATTCAATATAGATACACTCTCCCTCCCTCTCGGGAGGTTTCGCACCCATTCCTGTCTAGATGGTGATGTGTTTGTCAACGGATGATCGTTTGATCTCACAGAGCGAAACGAACCGACTAACTGCTACAAAACATGGAACCAATTACAGCGCCCATTGTGATGTGCATGTTATTAGCATACATTATCAAACGCTTGAGTAACGATGTGATAATTACGCCATACTACAGACCTGGAAAAGCTTAATAGTTTGAATTTTTCCCAAGTGATGACATTAACCAACTACACTGTTGATCGAAAAGATTAGAAAACTACTATTGCATCCTTGCAATATCGAAATGACCAATATTGGCCATTTACTTCATTCCTCGTCACAGACCTAAGGCCTAAGACAATATCCCCCCGCTCAATTAGATTGTTTTCCCTTGCATTCCTGTGTGCGTTCGCTGGATTATCTGCTCACTGTGTATTAGGCCTTTCACATTGCGCACAAGTCGCACATCCCTTACGTAACCAGTCGGAAATGCAATTGTTTTGGTTGGGTCTAATCTACTGCGCACTTCTCATACATGAATAAATCAAGTAGCACAATATGATCAGAATTGATACTGGCCATCGATTTTGCATACCACTTAGTTATGTCATACGGTAAAAAGAAAGAGGAACTGTCAAAAGCTACAACGGTTATTATCACATATCTCTTTTGACATACTTGTTTTTATAAAGTTTCGATTCTGTTAGCTTTCCATACCTGTTGTGATAAATTTCTGATTTTATCTCGGTGAACTGTTCTGTTATTTGATATTACGTAGCTATTTTCAACTCTCCTCCCCCGCGGTTAATCGGTTTCCATTACATAACTGTTTCCATACTAGCACCGCATTTCCAGGACTCTTTTTTACCTGTTATCACCCCCCTCATTCACCCATCTCCAAATCGCCTTGTTAATGAGGCATGAAACAAAAAATTATTTTGAACAGGCAAGTCAGACGACAAACAATGCGAGAGGAATTTCTTTCGTATGCTCTCATCGGTCGCGTACGTATAACATCGAACAAGATAGACAAATGAGGTGAATTAAGAAATCTAGTTGGTATTAATCATGTGTGTGTTTGTGTGTGTGATTGTGTACAGTGTGTGATGCACGTGATTGATTACAGCCAGAGAAAACCAAGGGTAAAGGTCATACGATTTTGGATGTACAGTGTGGGTTTGTTGTGAGCGATCGATAATGCCTCGAGTATCCTTGGTCGGTGTTTGTCTCGATGACGTAACAAAACGGAAAGCGCGTTCATTGTTACGTCATTGGCATATGCCAACCAAACCTATTGTATACGCGCCCACACTTCGTCTGTGATGCGTCCGCCAGGTGAAATACAGCTGCCCAGATAGCAAAATTTGTCTACTTCCCCTACTACTTCTCCAGTCAGGGTGAGATCGGGGGCTGGACCAACCGAATCTTGGAGCAAAATTTTGCACTTAGAAAGTGCAAAACGCATTCCGGACATGGCTACACCAGCACTCAAACTATACAGAAAAGATTGCAACTTACCTGGATCGTCACTTAGTAGCACAATGTCGTCTGCATACTCTAGATCAAACAGTCTACCACTAGAAAGTAAATCGATACCGCTATCCCCGCACGAGGATAGGGCTGCTTCAAGAATTAAATCTATCATGAATTTAAAAAGAAGCGGAGAGAGAGGGCAACCCTATTTAAAACACCGCTTTCTATAGTGAACTCGGGTGAAAAAGTGCCGTAAACTCGGACTCGACTTCGGCTATTAATATAAAAGGACCGTAATATTGAAATAAACTTCTCTGACACCCTGTAGAGTGAAGCGAAAATTTCCCAACTAACGAATCATGCCCTTTGTTGCGCACATTGCTGACGAGAGCAGTTCAACACCGAGAGGATGACTGAACCATCCCACGATGATATCGACCTGTAAGATTGACGCTCATGACAACAAACACCAAGGATGACTTGGAATCCGTAAGTGCCGTTATTATCGATCTTACATTGCTTCCATTCTATAAAATTTATTTTATACCCACAGAGTTTATAGAAAGACCCCTTAAACAAACTTTTCTTGACTCTGTTATTTTCGTGGAACAATAGTTCACGATCGATTTGCCCCGATAAGGAATGCTTTCACACTTGGATGACCAAGCTAGTCGAAATAAATCCACAAAGAGCCTATATACAGAATTTGGGCATGGTGTTTATCATCATCTATCACGGTTGTGATGATAGTGTCATCACATAAGTGAAGAACAGTTGGCATTGGAGAATAGGGGAGCATTATACATAGGAAATTCGTATCCATAATTGCTGGCTCGCTTTGTTCATTGCGCAGTGTATTCAAATTTTTCCGGTGAAGAACAACATGCCTAACATAATAGCTGTTGATTTCCATTTGGGTAACGTGTTCGCTGTAGCATCAAACCGGGCACACATCAAGACTAGGATCAGCACTGATCCATTTGCTGTCCCGGGGGTGCCAATTTTTTCACTGTTCTACGGTGGTAATTAGGACTAATATTTTGCAAAGCATATTGCTAGGACTCACATTGGATCTGCTGCCGATCGTGTTGCGCAGAGTTCGACTGATGGATGTGGGTCAAAAAGTAAGACTCCCATTCTCCCAGAGAAACGCACGAGCACACCTATCAGGTGATTCAGAAATTCGGAAACGCACTGCTGTTGAGGAGAAAATTGGACTGGGTCAAATTTATGAGCTTCATCGCGCCCATTTCACGCATGATTCGTTTATACCGCTGATTATGAAAAACATATCGCACTTTTCAGTTTATACTAGATGGATTTAACAAACAATGACAAAGTGTATTTAGTCTCCTTGAGTGCTTCAAGTTTGAGCTTTCAGAAAACATGGGAAGTCAAACGTCGCAACCCCCTGATGCGAAAACGAACTACCTCAAGTGTAAATAATGCGAAAAGAGTTTTCAATAGACCGGAATGGTTCAGAGAACAAATACATTGAGAAAGAAGTGTAACCTCGGAAATTTTGGAAAATAGTTAAACTGGGTTTGTGTCTTCAAAACCACAACATCCAATTCGCATATTAGCTTGACAACTTTCTCAGAGTTATCTATCCATTCAACCTGCACCTTTTGGTGTTTTCTTCCAACCATAGAAATTCATACAGGACAGCGATTAAGAAACCAAAGCAGACGAACTGTGCGGAATATGCGGAACTGTTTATGAGCAAAACCATATTTGTTAGGAAGGGTGGCTTGGTTTGACGAGATTATTTTCTACCTCCATGAAATCAAGTTTGTCAGGCACATAGGAACTCATATGTTGTATTATAGATAAACACGTGTCATCTGTGCATGAGATAATTTAATTCGTGGTATCAGTAATTATTTAGATTTTCCTGGCTTTCTCAAGTTTACAGTTTGACATACAATCGCGGTATTTTCCTCCAGCTTGACTGGTTCGCACGTTTCCCGAAAACTCGAAGTTGACACTTTTGTTAGACCTAATGTGCTTCCACTGTCTGTTTAATTCATCTCCCAAAAGCTCTCTGACTCTGACTTAAGTCTCGCGAAAAGCTCAAGATCAAAACAAAATAAATGATAGATTCTCTTTCAACAGTGACGGAGACGAGTAAGGAGTACAGGGGGTGCACGATCAAGCTCATCCATTTGATCCAGTTTCAATGAACTTAGAATGAACCACAGTTCATTTTTCTACAAAATAGTGTATTTCCAACCTGTGGAATCTCCAAGTAAATTTATTTCGTTGACCAGAAAGCCATACTCAAAATACACAGATTACATCGGAAAGACTGGTACAAAACTTTATTTAATGGAACATTTTTTAAACGTTTGACCCTTTGATTGGCTACAACTGCTTCTTCAGTAATTTTACGATATCCACATGAGTCCACCAAGTCAGATCTTGCATGCAGGTTACGGGCTAACTGGCCACAAGTCTACCAGGCTGGTTTATTCATTTAAATTTAACGTACCGTTACTTGTGAGTGGTGGGGGGTTTTCGATTGGAGTTGACATATAGTCTACTGGATCTCCTTTAATTGCTGTCGGGTCAAATGAACTGACTTTCACTGAAGACCACACCTGAACAAACATGAATTGGAAATTTCATTCAGCCCTGGTATAAGCTGATTGGCACAGTGATAACATTGTTGCCTTCCATGCGAATAGTGCGAAGCTCAAATCCCGGACGGGACGGTGAATATGTACCACTGGTGAGCTCTGATTAGAGCGAAACTCGAGTCTAGTGCTTCCGAGTGGATGGTTGACTGGGAGAATTGAGGAATGTGCGTGAAGGTGAAGACTGAAGGATGGTCAGGTCTAATCAATCAATAATCGCATTTGTCTTACTCTAGCGCCGATGAAATTGGACAGGTCGAAAGTCATCGTAATCAGGGTCTAATGTGGCCCTGACTGTTTTAGTAATGCACTTGGAGAATGACATTATGGCATCTCGTGTGGAACTTCACCCGTTACTTATGTCTACCAACACTGGCCACAATAAATTTGTCGATGGATTTGAACATACACTGGCATCAACAAAAGCAAACGAACGAGTAGTGTCTATGGACGCTAATGATGCATATTTTCACCAGAAATTCATGAATAGCTTGCACAACGAACACTCAGTTTGGAATGTGGAAAAGAAGTCAATGTACTGATCACACTTCGTAACAGATATTTAACTTATTTTAAATGATGTTATTTCCTTCGAATGCGATGTTTTGTCTCTTGTTCTCACTGTGTTTGACCTAGTTCATTTTGGTTCTCATCGAAGGGGTTAAGAATGATGTGAGTATTATAGCTAAAACAGTTGTATATTATGGTGAACGCCTATGCTTAATTCTGTGATTATCTTAGAATTGCAAAGGAATGGAGGGAGGAATATCTGGAATTATTATGCGGTCATTGGGTTAGAAGAGATAACCCTTGAGAAAGGTAAGTAGTTTTGAAACGACTGGGCACTAGAAACTGCAGAAGAGCTGAATATCGGATGCAATGTACTAATATGAAGCTGAGAGCATCACA